GAACCAGGTATCAAATGTAATGTTGGCATCAGGATCATAAAGAAATTCTGAAATACCATTGGTAATACCGTCAACTGATTCAGGAATCGTCGGTGTAGTTGGGACTCGAGAAGATATATGCGTCTGAGTAATCATCTCCATCAGCTTCAGCTGCTGTTCGAACAATTTTTCTAATTTGGCTGGATCCATAGTTATTCACCAACTTGTTGCTAAATCTCCGTCGCCAATTTATTGTGTTTCGCGAGTTGGCTACTCTAAATTCTACCGATTGACAAGCTTCTGATATCCCAGTTCGACCCCAATACTATTCCCAATCTCCAATATATCAGAACACGAACCGTAGATGAAAAATCGTTTATGGGTCAGAAGCAGCAGAATAATGATTTACAAACAAATGCATATTTATACAGTTAGGATTACTATAAATATTGACCAACAGAAAGATGACACGTTGAATAATGTTGACCAATAGGAAAATGACACGCGAAATAAATATTGATCAGTAGGGAAACGACCAATAGGGAAATGACACCATTTGACGTTCAAGGGTAGCGTTAGACATAACCGGATAATTGTTTTTGGGATATTTTTCTGAGTATCCCAACAGAGGGCATTTCAGTGAACATCATCCAATGCTATGCGCCTACCAACGACTGCAATGAAAACGCTAAAGATCAATTCTACAATAGGCTGCAGTCAATCGTCCAGAAGTGCCCAAGAATGGACCTGACCATTCTGATGGGAGATTTCAACGCCAAGGTTGGAACGGACAACACTGGATATGGAGACATCATGGGACGACACGGACTGGGGGAAAGGAACGAAAATGGTGAGAGATTTGCAAACCCTTGTGCCTTCAATAATTCGAATTATTTATGAGTTGCCAATATAGACTACCCAATTCTAATACTCAGTTTCATAAACCCCCTGAAGATTCCGTTGAACGAACCTCCAAGTTTTCACGTACTAGGTGGCCGAGGGAGATTTCAACATGAAAATAAAGTGAGGATTTACTAATGCTCCGTTAAAACACAATAGGCGTACAAAGACAATCGAACTCCACAGATTGATGCTAAAAGTCTAACCATCTACTAAGAGCTTAATGCCACCCTTGCATTCAGAATAATAAATGTATCAATAAACTTCCTAAATAAGGACTTCATCCTTAAGTCTCCCTCCTAACATAAACATTTCGACACAGAGGTTACATATATGCTTGTAAAATAACGCTCAACACTGAGTTCAAATCACTTCACTGTTAAATAAAAGAATTTTGCATTCGATATCCGGATGTGTTACTTAGGGTCATTAAATCTACATATAATTTTCCACTAATAATAGGCTCGGGACATCATATAATCACCCAGACATCCAAAGCAATAGAACTGTAATGAACAAGAACAAAGTGGGGACAATCGAATGTACTTTAGTACAAAACTACAGAACATCTTGTTAAGATCTGAGTACCAAACAGCAAATACTTCATTTGAAAAAAATGTCAGTCAATGGTCTCAGACTACATTGTTCTTTCGTTCCTACACCAATCATTCTCTTTTCTCGTTCTCTTTTCCTCTATCTTCTTAACCTTCTGCCGCCGTACATACTACTTACATCTGTTGACATTAGCTGCACACACTACATTATTACATAACAAAACTCTTCGTTCGTCATGCTGAACAGACTTTTACGCCTATCACACTGAGCGAAATTCATACTGAGTCGATGCGGAAAATGCTGACTTGAGATAAAAATACCTCATATCCAAAAAGTGGCACATCTCGTTTGGAAACATGTTCTTCCTTTAAATGCGCAAAGAATAAGTCTCCACGTCATTTTATTTACAACTGTCCTATGTCAATTCTCCATATTTCTAGATACCCTTACTAAAACTGCGACATATTCTTGATATGCCATATTCAAATCAGGCCACATTTACTCACATAACTTTCTTAAATCTAACCTTGCGATTTTAAGGCAGTCATTGCACACTTAAGTTGTGTTAGGTGATGAGTCTGTATTCTGTGAAATACATCTTGATATTATACTTTTGGGTAAATTTGTGTTTAAATTCATACACTTGCATGATGTATATACATTCAGTGTACCTGGGAAAATCGTCAACATCGTACGAAATTCATATGACGGACCACATTGCAAAGAAATGCACCGAAGAATATCAACAAGCACATTCCGAGTGAGGACTGGAGTCAGACAAGGCTACTTACATTGCTCCTTTTTGTTTCTTATGGTGGTCGATGGATTATGAAAACCCCCACATTTGAGGGGAAACACAGGATACAATGGACAACTTGGATGCGACTAGACGATCTGGACTTGGCAGATAACCTGGCCTTTATACCCCATGCACATCAATAAATGCAGATCAAGACTACTAGTGTAGCAGCAGTCTCTGCATCAGTAGGCCTCAACAAACACAAGGGAGAAAGTGGGATACTCAAATACGACACGGCAAACATCGACCCAATCACACTTGATGGAGAAGCTCTGGAAGTAGCGTAAACATTAACGTATCTGAGTAGCATCATCGATAAACAGGGAGGACCCGATGCAGATGTGAAGGCAAGGATTGGCAAGGCAAGAGCAGCATTCCTACAATTGAAGAGCATATGGAACTCAAACAACTATCAACCAATATCGAATTCAAAATCTTTAATACGAACGTCTACTGTATGAGGCTAAAACTTGGAGAACTACCACAACCATCATTAAAAAGGCAAAATTATTTATAAACAATCGTTAACGGAAAATACTAAATATCTTTTGGACGGATAACATCAGCGACAGCCTACTGTGAGAGAATAAACCAACTTCCAACTGAATAGGGAATTAGGAAACGACGTTGGAGGTGGATAGCGCATACATTATGGCAACCACCAGACTGGATAACAGGGCAAGCGCTAACTTGGAATCGTGCGAGGAAATAGAAAAGAAGGCCAAAGAATACACTGTGTCGGCAATCGGAAGCAGATATGAAAGAGATGAATAGCAACTGACGAGTTTTGTCTACGACAGATTTGGATGGAGAGTGTTGGTGAGCTTCTTACTTTCCTCGACGACGGTTAACCGGCGCAGTGAAGTAAGTTCTTTTTTGTAGATGATCAGTATGTTTTAAAGACCAAAAATGTATTAAGAAGCTAACATACTTCCTTTATGATCGTACACTTCCACTTCGTATTTGATTGTTTTATGCAAACAGTGTTCAGTTCTTCAGATTTTACCGATTTTGCTTGCTTTTTAGGTAAATGTTTCCTTGTTTTCGACTTGGCGACGACTCGCGAATCAGGTACGTAAACATTTCACAGCCGGATAGAGCATGGGAAGTTATACTTAGCCAAAATGATGTAGGGTGACACGCTTGATGCTCTTCCGCACATGTTTTCTCGTTTTTTTATGTTTCATTTTCTTACTAGCTCTGATTTCCATGTTGAGGGAACCTGCATCAAACTATGTTCGGTTATTCGTGTAGAGATGGTAATGTAGTGAGCAGAACACGGGTGGGAACAATCGAATGTATTTGACATAAAATCACAGGACTTGTTAATAAAATCTAACAACCATAAAGTAAATGCTTAATTTGCAAAATGTCCACCAACTGTTTCAAAATGACTCAGACTTCATTGTTCTTGCACTTTAATACAAATTGAATCCTGTTTCTATTCTTTACTGTTCGATCCCCTTGTCTCTCTGCTGCCAGGCCTTCTGTTCACGACTAATATCATGTACTACTTATATCAATATAGGTAGCACACGCCACAGTAAGTGCTGCTGAGATAAGATAACAAGCTAGTAAGGTTTATACATCTATATGGTATCTTTGAATATTGATTAAGTGGTTGCCTTCGTAAGACGTACAGGATAAAAGTCAGACACCAGACGAGTAAGTTATTCTTCGTTAGGCTTTGGAAACGAAACTGACACATTTCCACTTAATATATGTAAGATTTAGGGATACTTCCCTTCTCTTTCTGTAAACACATGGGGACCTATTATTGCACTGAAAATTTCAACGTCTTTTCATCCTACTTATAAAGCTTTGAAAGTACTAAAGTGTGGATTTGCAAATCGCATTGTACCAGAAGGCAATATATAAACTGATATAGAGTTATCTTGATTAACCTGCCTTTCGAGATACGAATATCGTGATAGTACTTCTCCATGTAATATTCCCCTGGAAATTCCGTTGTCTCTGGGGGAAAATTCCAACCGCTTTATTCTAAATCCGAACTCACGGCTGTAGTAATGGGGTGGGGACAGTGGATCTCAGAATATGTTAGCTTTTTGACCACCCATATCACAATTAAAGCCTCTTTTCAGGTTTCGGAATACCATTATTTTTCTTTACAAATTCGTTTCGGAATAAAATTCTTAGACTTTCTATCAGGGTTTAGGGCTGCATGTATCCTCTGGAGACGCATCTGCTATGCGGATTACCTTTTTGTTGACCAAACCACCGAAGGAATGCTTCACTATTCAAGCACTGTTAAGTGTTTCTTAGTGTATCCTCGATTGATTCTTATGTGAATTATTTAGTGGAAGTCAGATGAAAAGGGGTGAGTGATATTCGCGTGAGGTTTCAAATGGGTCTAGGACAAAACGGAAGAGTGTCAACCTGTGATATTTTTGATAAGATATTCGTATGAGAAAGTTCCTAAATCAGTGTGACATAGCTACTCATATCAGATATGAAACTCTTGGCATCCACTGTGTAGACTGAGTGGTTGATAGAGCCAAGTTAGAAAAATAGCCTGGCTGAATATACGGCAGATTTTGTGTAAAAAAAGTGTCTTAGTAACTTAAGAAGATGTTCACTGATCAATGATTCTGCATTAACACAAACAGAATTACTAAACAACAATTGAACTACAGAGTATTCATTATCCACTTCAATCTCGATAGCTAATGTTTTAAGTTTGCAGCATTCGTTTTCTATTGAATAATAATCACTCCTCAATTGCATAACATGATACAGTTTTGTTTTAATTTGTTACATTAGTTGTACTAGTGGCTGTGACAGGTCCGATTTACAATCCCAATGTGATCGGTTACAGTTGATTAGAAATGGGTAGAGAATCGTTTGTTACCCTTGCAACAAATGATGAATACTGTGTGGGTGCACTTGTTTTAGCAGCATCCCTAAAACAATCAGAAACGTCTAAAGAGCTTACCATTCTTGTAACCCCTGGTCTCTCATCACAGATGAGGTAAGTTGTGACATATATATCACTGACCTCTAAAGACAACTGCTCTGCAGCACTTATGATAATGTAATCGAAGTACAACCAGTTATAACCAAAGGCTGGAGTCTGCCTGTTATTGGTGGTAGAACAGAGCTCATTGAAACATTCACAAAAATTCAGGTTTGGAGTCTTACTCAGTTTACCAAAGTTGTATTTATGGATGCTGATACTCTGGTAAGGCTTCAAAGTTTTTTGTCATTCGAGCCAAATAGATTTCCCATACTTGTTTCCTAAATACATCAATTTTCCGCTTTTTGCAGGCGGAAGTCGCCATCAAGTTTTTTAGTTTCAGTAGTAAAAATATTAGATCAGCTGACTTCCATTAAACCCTATACTATATTACGTTTAACACTGACTTTGTCCTAAAGGTTTTTAATGATAAAAATGATGTCACATGTCTGAGTAAGCAGTTCCAGTATCTGGTCACTCGTTAGGACATAGAGGATTCGACCCTGAATTCTTTCAGCGTAGTGCTTAACTCTTTCTAGGGTTGTCTTCTTAGTGTATTCTCCTAAAAAAGCAAAAACAGTGTGTTAGTCAGGAGTTTAAGCATCTAAAGAACCTCTTGTGTTTCATAATTATTGAAACAGACCTAAGCATTTTTATTATCTTCGCTGGAACCAAGCTGGTAAACGATCTTCTTATACACCTAGGTGCATCTCTATTTTCAGCAGATTTTGATAACGTCAGCGAGAACTTGTTCGTCAAATTTTCAGGCAAACCGTATTCGGTTTAAACCTCTCACGGTCCATATTGTTAAACAGATAGGAATCATTTATTTGGTCAGTTAATTTTATCTTCCTCCAAAGACCTACAGAAGACCAGCCAAGAGTTTTGTGGTCCTGAAAACTATGTGTAATTTCTAGTTGTACCCCGTTTGGCATCAGGCTTTCAAACTTTCATTTTGCTTTACGCCATATACAATTATCAGACATATTTCATCTTTAATACAGAGATGTCTTGACATTTGTTGACTGGTATTTTACATGGTAAAACTTTAAAAATTGTCTTAATGTTCGTATTCCCCTAATCAAACGTCTCTTATGTATACCATATACGTTCCAAGGTGATATATTAGAATCAGACAGCCGTGTCTACTCAAAAGGTGACAGTTGGCCCCATCGATAGTAATAATTTCAGAATAGTATGAAACGAATCACAAGTGCTTCTGCCTAAAATGAGAAGAAAATCAGATAAAAAACTAGTAATTTTCCCAGAACGTTTCACTTTGGTTGATTAATAGTGAGTTTTCTAATGAATCTAGGTTTTGCAGAACGTTGATGAATTGTTCAACAGATCTGGGTTTACTGCTGCACCTGATCCTCTGTGGCCAGACTGTTTTAATTCTGGTGTCTTTATATTAGAGCCTTCTATGGACACGTACAACGGTCTTCTACGAATGTTGTTTGACTCTGGGAGTTTTGATGGAAGAGAACAAGTAAGTTCACAAGATTTTATTTGATTAAGACTTCTTAATACAGTAATACATGTTGTTGAATGAGATTCTAATACGGATCTCAGCAAAATACTACACATATGAAGTAGCATTCCGATTCCTAGGGTTTATGAACTCAAATAATAAGAATGTTCTTTACAGAGCTAGTTTGATTAATACCCATAAGCACCATACATAACATAACTACTGAATTCCAATTATTTATTAGTTAATCATTTTATATATGTTTGTGAACAGTCCTGTTTATCTAGTGTCTTGTGAATAACCTTATTTTCACGCTATTAATGAGAAAATTGTTTCAAAAGTTTAAACAGATAGAAGTGTAACTCAAGGTCAAAAAGTCGAATGATATGGAAAACTGAAACGGTTATGTCAATACTTATATGTCTGACGATTAACAGATTGTTGCATGTTATAAATTCCCGAAGAAAAATACAGATGTCTAGGTATGAGTGTTATTTAAATTATATTTTATTAGTAAAATAATATTCAATGATAATATTCATTCTTATTGGTATTTTAATAGGGTTTACTGAACACATATTTTTCCAACTGGTTAGAAGGAGATATATCACACAGACTACCTTGTATATACAACTGTATTTGTCGTATATCAGATGACACAAGTTTTGAATTCTATACAAGTAGATCCGCTTGGGTTCAGTTTGGCGGATCTGTTCGAGTTGTGCATTTTGCTGGTCCAATCAAACCTTGGCATAAAACATCCGCGGCCAAAACATGTAGTCAAGCTGCTTTTCGTACATTCTTTAATACTGATAAAAATAGACGATCAATATGTCGTGTAGCTGGTATGCTGGCCTACTGGTGGTCATTATTTCTAATTCTTGTACGACCACAACTTTATCCTGATATGGTAAGTAGAGAAAATTATTTATTTGCTTTCTCCAACCTGTCCGTTTAATGTATCGTTGAGCAAAAATTTATGGAAACAATAGTTTTTCTCCTTATCACTACTATTCAGAACTAAAACACAGAGTTAGTGGGTCATCAATAGAGATTAATACAACTATGATTAATAGTTTAATTGAGCAGAATGAATTTACTTTTTCAATAAGGTTATCAATTAATCTCACTGTAAACAATGATTATCAAATTATTGTACATCCGTAAAATTTACCATCATCTCTTTTATTCAATTCAAGTTTTCGCTTTGATTGAATTTATTTTAATAAATAATGAAATTTCCAGATATACAATTGGTTTTTTGAAAATAGTTGGATCATTTTATAACAAAATGTATGGAATATATGAAACAACATGATCTAAGCATATATTGTCATAAATATTTTATCATGGTCCAGGTTATCAAGACTGCGCAACTAGTACCTATTCCATGACAGAATTTATCGTTTTTACCTTCTCTGTTGCTCTTTTGGCTCATTTTCACTATGTCGTTCTACTTTTATGGCAGAGATAGGTTAGTGGTGAAAATATTAGCTGTCGTGAGGGTTGTAAACTATATATATGTATATGTTATAGATGTTGATAACGCATTCCAACATGTTAATATAACCTTCCACAGTTAGATATTTAAGCCACCAAACAATATATAAACTCAAATATAATAATAGTTATTAAGTACAAACAGTTATGTTAATATATATCAGCTTAAAGTTATAAACACAATAAAAATTAGGGACGTTACTTAATTCAGCAGATTTGTGCGTGTTCAGGTTGAGTTTGGTAACAGAAACCACAGTTATAGATGATTGATGGTCCCAGTAAGATTGTTGTCTTTCCAGTGATATAACCAAACGTAGTATATGATATAATTTGGTTGTAGTCTATAGATGTAGACGGTAGTTGGTCTGGAGTTCAGTTATCAAAATCACGAGCAATGGAAAACACGAGGTATGTGCATAGTAGTGTATTTGTTAGTAGGTAATAGCGTGTGCCATGCTATGAGTGTAACGCGCTGGTAGAAAGTGTATCCAAGGTCATGCACATAAACAACACGTACAATCGTTTAATTGTAAATGTACAGGCTGTGGAAAATTAACAGACTAGATACAAACAACATCAAAAACTATTTACAATATAAGTTTGTCATGCATATCTCCACACAGGAAATACATCAGGCTCGTGTGGAAGAGGTACAGTTATGCGAAGATTTTACCAGAGACTATGATAACGCAGCTTTACTACCCCCTGTACAGAGTTGCAATGTTTATGCTGCCGGTATTCTTATAAAGATGTCTAATAGCAGAAATAAGTACTTTTATAAAGCGGTTGCGACAAAGCATTAAAATGTACGACTTCTTAAATAAGATATCTTAATCTGAGGTGACCAGATATCGCATGTGATGATCGAAAATCAACGAAGGCCTGTCTAGCTTACGTGCTGATGCCGGAAATGACGATTACTTATAACTTACGTGGGACTAAAATAAAATAGGCATCAGTAATTGCAAGTTACACGGGACGATTCAAAGTAAGTTCATATAGTAATCTTTGTATATGTTCATTGTCTAAGTTTCCGAAGTGCAACCTGTCCGAAGAACTAAATAATACAAGCCACGTATGTTGTGATCCATGCTTTCCCAAGCAACGCAAGAGATAAAGCATACAGGCGTGATTGATTATCCAAAGAAAGGACGTGCTAAATGCACTTTTGATCTGTAATTGAATACCGGTTTCTGTTTTTAAATTAGTTTCTGTCAAAAATTTATACTGAAATAATTATTTCCTGCCTATCTTATTTCCAGCCGGCTTCGCAAGTGTTCACAGACCTAATTGGGACTTTTTAATTCATCAAACCTGATTGGTACGCATTATGAATTCTTAGGTTGGATAGTGGCTATGACAAGGGACATCCGCTTGTCTACTATAAGCTATTTGGCTGTTTTGATACTGCATTTGCAATACAGAGACTTTTTGTGTAGAACACTGAATGAAAGTTCAACACGAACTCATGAGGAATTCTTGTGAATTGGAAGTTATTCATTAATGGATCATTTGTGCTGGATTCAAACTTTGATAAACGTTTTCATTCACAACGCATCAGTCTTTTAATTACGGCAATGCTTATCTATCGTAACAGACCGGAATTCGATCTGAAAATATAGTACACCATGTTCAAGGTTAGAGCATTTGGTAAACGGTATGTATGACTAATCGCGTGTGCGCCAAACTGGTAATTGTTGCACAAGAGTGTGAATCAACATCACTGTTTCACAGCCACGTAAGACTGCACAGTACACTCTCCCTGCCGTAACGCCATAAGAACAATTTAATGACCATATAAATGAATTTATGTAAAACTAAAAAGATCACAGTGTTAGAACTTCTTGTTATCAAGAAGCATGGTTATGGTCAATGAGAACAATGGATTCTGACGATGAAGCTTCATAATTACAGCTAACAATTACCTTCCTGAAAAATGCTCTTAAGACATGAAATGAACGAAGTACTATGTTGGCATGACTGTGCGTATACTGTACCGCTGAAATTGCGGTCCCCGCTGAATCCATAACGAAAGTGCATGTATCGTATCGCAAATCATTTCTTTAAAGCATTCCAATGGTCTTACGACATCCTTGCGTCGTTCCCGCCTGAAAAGAGCATACATCACAGTGTGCCCTTGCCCAAGACTGTCAGTAGCCACTAGCTGAAACCATGGAAAACTTCAAGATAAATTCATTACTACTCGTTACTTACCCAACTTTGTTGGTGTGATAAGTCTATTCATTACACACTACCTCTGGGAACTCGTGGAAAATAGCTATTTGCTCCCTGCGACTGAAGCAGATCATAGATATGTTCCCATGTTCATTGAATACTTTAACTTTAGCATTTGCTTGAACGCCCTGTAAAATGTCATTGATATTTTTAGTGTCTGAACTCAATTAGTTACAATGTAAGTTCAACAACCTGGGTAAAACTGTGGATGCATTTTGGCGATATCGCCTTTGGTAAGCTGTTTATGGAACTTCCAAGAAACCAGATGCCGTAAGCTACGAGTCGGCGTATTACTCAATAGAAACGTTCACTTGACGTCAACTATCGTCTTGAAGGATCTAAAAAAATATATCCTTCTGTGCAAGGATGGTTGCGAACGGTCTTAATATAGGTGACGTTTAGTTCACCATTTACTACACGAACCCGAAATCCGGATTGACAATGCCAATGTTTCGAAATAAAACACACGTAGATGACCGACATCGTCTTTGTCTAGGTCGTGGTGGTGAGTTAGAAGTTGCATGCTCTTCGGAAGAATGATGATAATTATCACCATCCACATCAGAAACACAACATCTTACTCGGACGACCTGAGCTCCCAATTTTAGGGAAAATTTGACCCATTTTGGGGAAGCCGCTATAGTAAACCATGGGGAAATTGTACCAAAACCCCTAAATTCACCTTTAACCTTGGCGAAGACCATTTGACTTTGGAGGTTTCCCGGAAATTTTCTCACACTTGAGAGATCGGGGAACTGCGTTTACGTCCACATGTACAGACATATCTCACGAAGAAATACTTTAGAGTTGTGTCATCATTGTTTTTTTACACACTGAGATGATGTACTTAGTATGAGCATACTACAGAAATAATTATCAACCACAGAAGTCATATATAGTATACCTTATGTAGTTCTTTCAAACAGGTCTCAAAATTGTCCCAACTTGTAAGTCGTCGCGATAACATGATATCATTGAAGATTCGTCCTATATCATGCATCATCACGACATCGTCTTCGTTACTAGAAGAATGGACATTATCAGACATAGCGTGGCTTAACTGAATCCAAACCTAAAAGAGTCTCGATTTGACCGCTTCTGCAAAACTTCATGAATTGTCGATGTGACGCACAAATCATCTTACTACAGTTTCCTTCAAGTGCTCACACCTTTCATTCGGCGGTACCTTTGACGGGTTCTAGATTAGACGTAGTTGTTTTGGTGTCACGTTGATTGTAAGCCTTAATTGATCTAATCATGAAGTATATTAGAACCACACATATATATTTTACATATGGTTATCTGTAAACATTTCTGAGTATCCAAGATAGTTTTCTGACTGAAATAGACCTTGGGTGTGCCATTCAACAAATTTCCCCATTTCGGGGTCTTCCCCAAAGTCGTAAGAAATATGGAAGTTTTCCCCCAATTTTCGGGAAATCCCTCAAGATCCCAATTCAGTAGAAATGCTGCCCGTTTTGGGTAAATTCTGGAGAAACTGCAAAAGAAAGTTTTGGGGACCTGAGTTCCCAATTTCCGGGAAAGTTGGACCCATTTTGGGGAAATTTCGGGGAAGCTGCTATAGTAAACTTTGGAAAAATGGCACTAAAACCCAAGATTTCCCCAGACCTGGGGAAATCCCCCAAAATTCCCCTTTAACACTGGTCAAGGTTATTCCCGAACTTCCAATCTCGGGGTATTTTGGGGAAACTCCCGAAGTCAAATGATCTTGACCAAAGTTAAAGGTGAATTTGGGGGAAATATTGGGGGATTTCCCCAGGTCTTGGGAAATTTTGGGGTTTTTGTGCCATTTCCCTAAAGTTTACTATAGCGGCTTCCCCAAAATAGGTCAAAATTGGGAGCTTGGGTTTGACTGGGGATTTCCCAAAAATTTTCCCAGGATACCTCAAAGTTCCCCAAAATTTCCCCGGATTTCCAGTAGTTCCAAAAAATAGGGAAATCTGTCAAGTGAAAGCGACCGTTATCAAAAGTCACCCATTGATATAGCTTGTATTCAGTAAGGTTTTTGACAAAGTTCCTCTAAACTGGCTGTTATCTAAGTTGAGTAATATCGGGATAAATCTTCCTAGTTGGGCGTCAACAAATTTGTTGACGGGAAAAATCCCCAAGTGCTGTAAGATTCCGTGAAACCTAAAATTTCCCCAAAACTTTGGGGATTTTCCGCAGACCTGAGAAAATTTTGAGGTTTTTTGTGTCATTTCT